CGTTAAACTGCGTCGCATATCAAAGCGAAACAAAATTCTGTTACTAAAACAAGGCAGAACAGTAGCTAGTTATCAGCACAAAATGAAACTTACATATTTCGCATAATAAAAAGCCAATGTTCACTATTCCTATGATAACCAAATATTGTCTCGCTTTGATATGCACCCGTTTTGAGTTCCGTTTCGATATGCGAGTAAACAATAAGTTGTTTTTATTCTAGAGCGTTCATTTGTAAAATTACCTCAAGAATTCATAGAAAATTTACAAAATCGTCTAATTTGCATCCTACAAAATTTCATAGTAATTTTACAAATCATGACGTTACTACAAATGATTCATCAAACATATAGCTATGCCGCATGTTTTGATGTGTCAAAAATGGTTTATTGGTTAATTGTCAAAATGTACAGAATTTTTTTGAGAAGAAATTTGTTAGATTTATAATTTTATAAAATATTTTAAGCACTCAGTTTATTTTATCATATATGATATCTCAGTGTGCTTTTGTGCACATGTGTTATGTTGTCTATCAAGCTATACTGCACATGATACACATCAGCTTCGAGTATAGTGTACACTATACGATATACGAATGGGTCAGGATTGAAATGCTCTCCAATTCCGATGAAAATAATGAGATAAATTGAGTGCTTTAAAATATTTTATAAATTTATAATTACAACTAATTTATTCTTCTGTGCATTTTGAAAACAATCCCAACATTTGTTGACATTTCGAAACAAAAAATATCACATTTGATATTTTCTATAGTACTTAAAAAACCATTATAATAGTCAGAGTAGCACTTTTAATTTTATTTCAATATTTTTCAATATTTTTCATTTTTCTTCCAATAAAAATAAATAAATCTGAGCGTGTTTGTCGATTTATAAACGCCATCTATTGCGAATTTGTACCATTTTTAGTTATGAGAGACTGGTGCTGATGTCAAGTTTTTCAATCGTTCGTCTCACGTCGCGCTCATGACTTTACCGTACACACTAGGTGTGTACGGAAAAGCAAAATTGTAATTGTTTTTTTTATATAAACTAAATTTTTTTTTTTTTTAATAATAAAATTATTGGCACATTTGTTTTGTACAGATTGTATGTTATTACACAAACTGGTCTCAATATCGTACCAAAATAGGCAAATTCGTGCCTGAAGACATTCCAGCTGACTTGTGTACTCATCTTATTTATGCATTTGGTTGGCTAAAGAAGGGCCGATTAAGTTCATTTGAGAGTAATGATGAGACGAAAGATGGCGTACCTGGCTTTTATGAGAAAGTAGTCGGTTTGAAAAAAACCAATCCAAAATTGAAGGTTCTTCTAGCTATTGGAGGATGGTCATTTGGAACACAAAAATTTAAAGAAATGGCGACATCACGTTATGCTCGACAAACATTCATCTATTCGGCTATTAACTTTCTACGCAAACGTGGATTCGATGGTTTGGATATGGATTGGGAATACCCAAAAGGAAACGATGACAAAAAAAATTTTGTTCTACTTTTGAAAGGTAGGTAATTTTATTATGTAATATTAGTTCCTTAAGTAAAAGGTGCTAGAAAAATCACACCATATGAGTGTAGATAGAGTGTATCGATTTTTCAAAAATAAATGCGTTATAGTGCAGTACAGCGAATCGCATAGTACATATCAATGAATGCAAGAAAATCGTGTACCTCTAAAGCGCTTACAATATTCGCCGTAAAAGTTATACTTGTGTTACTTGTTGTAAAATTTGAAAAATTCATTACAAAAAATTGTTTAACCCTCCGTTGTACACATGTCCGGCACAAAAATGATTTTGGCGGATTGGCCAGGTTTTTTAATTCAAAATGCTGCATGTGGTAGAGGGGTTCACGATATGACATTTGGGGCAAAAAAAAAAATCCCAGATTGATATGGTGTTAGATATGATCCTTGGTAGCTCCAAACCCCCCATTATTTGGGTGAAATATGACAAATATATTCGAATATATGATAAATATATTCGAATATTATATCAAAAACTGCCAATCGATTTTTCTCGCATTTCCGATGGAAAAATCAAAAAAATTCCGAAATTGCTCATCCCTATGAAATCCCTCGAGCACTCGACTTCCAGAACACTTTGGACAAGGTCGGATCCTCATACTTCACAAGATTCACTTCTAGGTCATGTCGTCTCAATTCATCTCATATTATATTATAGGTCATGGTATTGTTGTTTCTAGGTAAACTACATTTATACGCGAGAGTATCATGACCCATTATATAATATGAGATGAATTGAGACGACATGACCTGGAATTGAATCTTGTGGAGTATGTGGATCTAACCTGGTCAAAGTGTTCGGGAAGTTGAGAACTCAGAGTGATACATCCTCTACGCTTCATCTCATATAATATTTTGATGTAAATGGCAGTCCTGATCAATAGAAATACACAATCCACCAATAATACACCATCCACAATACAGCCAATTCATGAACGGACAAAACAACTTCAATTACCAACAATATTAGCTCAAAACGTCAAAGATTGCCGGAATTTCTTGCAGAAATTTTGGCCTTGAATTTCGGTATTTACATGCTTTGTGAGACTCGATTAAATGCACAAATCAATTCAAAAGATGTTTTTCCACCGAATTTCAACGTTTATCGTTCCGACAGAACAACAATTTAATAATAATAATAATAACTGCACCGAACAGCGTTCCTTCGCCTTGGTGGTTTATTGAAAATAATTTCAATAAATAAATATAATATAATACAATTTGATTTTTATCAAGCATTTTTGAGAGAAAAAATGTAAAATTATAGCTCCTCTCATGTAAATAATATAAATTTCAGAAATTAATTTTTCAACTGCTTAAAATTTCTATAATCCATAACAAATTTTTGTATTTATCTGTTTTGCTTTAAATAATTTTTTATTCTCAGTTTGATCGTTGATAAATTAACTTCTAAATCAATTATATAAGTACAAAACACTTCGTTCGAAGTTCTCACTGTGACGCAATATTATAAATCTGGAAATGTTCTGATATAAATTTTCAGTGACGCGGTCGTTCATATACGCATACAAAATGTTAATTTAATTAAACTTTTTTAAAAAAAACGAATTTTCCCAGATATGACACATAGGCCAAATCATCACATATTTGGTCCCTAACAAACGCCTAGTTTTTTGATTTTTTTCATAGACGCATTTTTTTTTTAAATTTGGATCACGTGAAAGAAGTCATGGTCATTTTTCGCCGAAAATGCCACATAACACGCCACCTGGCGGACATTTTTGAAAATTTTTCCATATTGACTTCGGATCCGGAAAGGTGAGTCTTTTACCTTTCCAACGACGTATAAATCATTGTGGTACCTTACAGATGGCCAGAAAAATGTCCGATCGATGAAAAACTCAAAAACGGCCTCCCAAAAATATTCGACCCCAGACCAAAACCACTTACGCAACAAATTTTTTGAAACTGAGAAATTAGTTTGCTCAGTTTTCAGTCTACTTTCGAAAAAAAATAATTTCACACAATTTAAAAGAAACTACGGACAGACATACAAACACCTCAACCGGCCAATTTGAGGTTTTTGGCCATTTTTGGCCAACTGGCCATATCTCGGCCAATTTTCAACCGATCGTGATGATATTTTTTTTTATCTACGCGGTACTTAGATTCCAAATATGACCAAAAAAAAAATTCGAAAAAATCATTTCGGTGGTCAAAAATTGAGAAAAATGAATTTTCACCGATTTTTTTTAAAATGCCACCTGGCGGCCAAATTTTGATTTTTTTTATTTTTTTTTGCGGATTCTTAATTTGGTGCCCAAGCACTACTAAAATATGCAAAAACCCTTTTCCAAAAGTCAGCGGTATCGATTTTCATTTCTTTAACGTATATATAGAGTGACGCAAAATTTATATATTTCATATGTATGTTGGTATTGCGTCACTTGGGGGACTGTCGTCCCCCGTGATTCATTTTGTCTGATTTCGCGGGATCTTTTTTTTAATTCACCCACAGTTAGTTGTTCCACTGGACCAATTTTTCCTACAACCTTTAATGATAGAACGCAGTACACATAGTTTTTCAACTTGTTTGTGTGTAAACAAACAAATGTCAACTGTTAATCTCATGTGTCAGATAAGCGTTCAATTTACAAACCGTTCAAAAAAAAAACCAACGTTCACAGAAAATTGATAGTTTTTCATTGCAATATAAATTTAATAAAGTAAAATAAAATTAATGCCCCTACATTTTCTAAAAACAATTTATTTATTTTTAAACCATTTTTTCATCGTAAATTTTGCAATTATTAATGTAAAAATATAATTATTTATTAAATGAAGTCATCAAGTTTGACATCACAAAAAAGTTTATAAACATACGTATTGCGCCATCTATCGAAATATGAGATATTGTAAATTTCGATAGTGAAAGTCGCTATGCATGAAGTCAAAAAATAACATTATTTGTTTTTTTTTCGATGTTTTTTTCTGTTATTTTATTATTATTATTATTATTTAGAATTATGCTACCAAAAAATTGTGAAAAAGTTGTATTTAAACTGATATATTCATCATTTGTAAATTTACCCTGACTTTTCGTAGTATTTTTACAATGATATTGTGACTTTCATTTTGACACATTTTGTAAATTTACTACGAAAATTCAGTGTAAATTTACAAATGACTTACAACACAGTGTTCGTCGGAACATAGCGCCATCTATTGAAATAATCTTAATCTACTTAGACGAACTTTTTTTTGTGTCTATAAATATAGAATGTCACACTGTATATGATCCGTTCCAAGATCTTTCCGGCGGTGTCCAGTAAACATATTGGGGGATATGATGAGGGGGCACCAGGCGGCTTGTTTCCTTTCGGGAGCAAGACCAGGTACTGCGTCTTCCATTGTTCGGGGAATAGGCCCTCCTCGAAACACTGTTGCATTATCTCAATGAACAAGTCCGGCCATTTTATTACAGCCGCCTTGAGCGCTTCGTTAGGAATGCCATCAGGTCCAGGTGCTTTTTTGTCCCAGATTTTTTTACATGTCATAACTAGCTCATCTTCTGTCACCTGTGGTATGACTGCGTCGATCTGTTGTGTACTAAAATCGATTGTTGTGTTCGTTCTGTGTGTGTGTGTTTTTTTGTGGCTTTTTGCCTGGATGTGGAATTTTCGTGTTTAAACTTGTGGAGGTATTTTCGATACCCCCCATGACCAGAAAGGAACTGAGTGAGTTTGTGTGTGTGTGTGTGTGTGTGTATTCATACGCGGAACGCTGACGCTGATTCACTTTATAAAGAAATAGAATTTTCAATATTCACCAGGATGTTCTGTCAGCAATATTTTATGATGACAGAAGAAGTTTTTCAGATTTGAAACACTTACGAGACTAAGATAGTCAGTTTTTGATGTTTGCTTAATTCCCGTTCATGACAATAAACATCAATTAGAAAATAAAATAATAATTTTTAGAATATTTCATCGAGTTAATTTGACGTGTCATTTGCCAAATAGTTTTTATTTTTTCATTATGCTGGAATATTAAACCAGAAAAGAGAAATGGCCAACGATTAAGAAGTTTTCAAAGGTGAGAAGAGTATACTCAAAAAAGTGCCCCCCTCGTAAAATATATACTCACATTTGCTTAAATCGCTCATCTATTCCGTTTATTTTTTAATAGCAAAACACATTTATATACCTATTGGGTTAAAGTTGAATCGAATCCAATTAAAGAAACATACCTGACGCGCAGCGCCCACTGCAGACCGTATTAGTACTAAGCAGTATATATTTACGTACTACCGAAATTTTATGTTGTTGACTCGTGACCTCGCTGAAATGAATTTACATTGTACTATGTTACAAGTCAACTCATAGATGGCACTAGATAATGTCCTTAAAGCTCTTTCAATATAAAAAGATACAATTTATCCCATTCGGTTGAATTCACCAGTTGTATCGTGCAAATATGAAAAATCTGTTGACTGTGAATTATAGTAGTTTGCGTAAAGTGTTGAGGCGGCGCTACTGATGTGTTCATACTGTCGAAGAAACATCGAATTAAAAACCACCAACATTATATTTTAGATTCGGCTTTTAGTAGACAACGTAAAAAGTTACAGCAGCGCCACATTGAACATGAACTGTATGTGGTCATAATAAAAGAGATTGTGTATACACAACATGCTCTGCCATTGGAATTCACATGTGTGAAAAATTCTCTTTTCATTTCTTTCAATTCAATTACGTCAATTCGGTAAAATAAAACTGAAAAGAAAAAAGCAACGAATATAAAAGAGAAAAATGGTAGCGAAGAAGAGCAAATCGTACATTATTTCCCTAGATAAATAGTGAGTGTATGACGATGTCGACGACGACTACGACGGGTTTTTCACTATTAATGCATAAAATACTCGTGTAGTTTGTTTTGAGTTTGGTGAATTTCGGGATGAAAGCAGCATTTGCATACGACGGATGTAAAAACATATTGAGAGTGATCATTAGGGTGTTTCCACATGAAAAATATTAAAAAGTGGCTATTATCATTTTGAAGAGCGTTAAATTCTGTATAAGATGATTTGATTTTTGATACTGATTGGTTGCCGATGTCACATCCTGGACTAAAAACACATTTATAAATTGATTTCATGTCGCATTCACGCCAAAATCTGTAATTGATGAAAATATAAGATTGAACTAAATTAAAAACGCTCAAAATAATTTTAATATCAAAATAATTGCCTAAATATTAATAAAAGTAACACAAAAACTCACAATTTCACCACAATAAACCAAAACAATGCAAAATCGCCAATTCATTTGACAGAATGACATTTGAAGCGTGATTCGCTCACGCATGACAAATGACAGGTTATGTGTCAAATGAATTGGCGATTTTGCATTGTTTTGGTTTATTGTGGTAAAATTGTGAGTTATTGTGTTACTTTTATTTATATTTGGGCAATTATTTTGATATTAAAATTATTTTGAGCGTTTTTAATTTAGTTCAATCTTATATTTTCATCAATTACAGATTTTGGCGTGAATGCGACATGAAATCAATTTACAAATGTGTTTTTAGTCCAGGATGTGACATCGGCAACCAATCAGTATCAAAAATCAAATCATCTTATACAGAATTTAACGCTCTTCAAAATGATAATAGCCACTTTTTAATATTTTTCATGTGGAAACACCCTAGCGATCATTTATGTCGAAAGTTCACAAGAGTGTCATGCAGCATAGTTACGAATAGATACAGATATACAGAACACGACTCAAAAAAGCAGTGAAAAATGAGTCTGAATTACTTCGTGGCATAGCCACACTACTAAATACGGGTGCACTTGACGTTATATGAATATCACATAAGCTCACTACGGTGAGTCATTTCAACTCGTTTGCTTAATTCTTTTTTAACGCTCTTTGGTATACGTGAACTTCACCATGTTTTGCCATTGGTTTTTGGTTCCCCATTCTATATGCATTTTGAAACAGGTACAAAAGCACAAAATGAATCATAATAATAATAATAATAATAATAATTTTAAT